ACAAACAAGAGGAAATGTCTACTGAAAACACTCATTCTTTTTGTTGTTATTTTTTTGTGAAAGGGGTAAGATCTTAAAATTATATCAAATGAAGAATGGAATGGTGGATTATATATACATATGAGTACAAATTCCATGCATCGTAAGGTCTCGTTATAGTATTCGTTTAGAATCATTGACAAAGTTAGCTTAAAGCAAATGTTTTTTTTTTTTTTTTTATGCTTCTAGTTAGGATCACGATATTTGTTTTTAAATAAAATGTATATATAAAGTAAATAGTGAATGTATTTATAGTGTATTTTTATGCCTCTAGTTAGGTCACTACTTGAGCTCCATCAATAAGGCCCGATCCCCTTAGGCCTTATTAGGCAAAAGAAATGTTAAGTAAAGCTAAGCATAGTAGTTTGGGTTAAAGTGTAAAGAGTAAAAGTAGATTGGGGTTTATTGTAATGACACCAATACAGTGTGTTTTGTACTAAGCATAGTACGGCAGCGTTTTTATATCATCTTCCTGATATAAAAACACAGCTTCCTCTGTTTTATGCTGTAAGTAAAAACTACTGTTTATTCTCAACTGTTTTTCACACATTCTTTAATTCTTGTTAATTTTCTTTTCGAATCCGATCAGAATCTTTATGGTATCAGAGCTATAGACAGACGTCCATGGCTAATCTCAGTTTTGGATCCTTGAATTCTAACTCCAAGATTGTGAATGAGCTGCCTAACAGTGCAAATGCGCTGAGTTCAGTTGCCCATTCTTCTCTTCCAACTCTATCAATCAAGCTAGGGGAAAGAAACTACAGTAACTGGAGATCCCAGGTATTACCTGCGTTAACCTCCTATGAACTTGATGGCTTCGTCACAGGTGTGCATGTATGCCCTTCTATGTTTTTAATTGAACAAATTCAAGATTCTGAACGAACAATCAAGAAACCTAACCCTAAGTACTTTGATTGGAAAAAGACGGATCAATTTCTAGTTAGCTGGTTAAATTCTTCCATTACCGAGTCTATGTTTAGACATGTTGCTAAGTGTGGTAGTGCGTATGAAATTTGGAATACATTAGAGTTGCATTTTCAGTCTTTCTCAAAGGCGAGAACACTTCATTTGAGAAATCTATTGCAAAGCACTAAGAAGGAGTCTATGAGTGTTAATGAGTATATTTTGAAAATGAAAGAGTTAGGGGATGAACTAGTGGCTAGTGGAGTTCAAATTGGAGATGAGGAATTGTTGCTATACATTCTTGATGGTTTAGGTCCAGAGTTTGATGCGATGGTAGCTAATTTGGTGGCTAACAGTAGTACTGCCACTCTCCAAGAAGCACAGATACTACTCCACAAACATGAGATGAGAATTGAGAAGCAGAATAGTATACTATCTAACTTTCATGGTATGTCATCTGCACTACTAGCCACAAAACAAACTTCAAGTGATGTTGGAGGTGTGTCACAGTTCCAAATTCCTTTTGTATCACAATTCCAAAATACCGGGGCTGGAGGAGTTACTGCTCAGAATATTGGTTCTCCCTCTACTATTCAACCAACTACATGGCAGAACTCTAACCCTTCACCTATGTCTTCACAAGGAATGTTGAATTATCAACACCATGGAATTTATCCCCAACAACAACCCCCTAATGTAGCCATGTATTCTACCACCTTTCCTCATCCTGTTCCTACTCAATATGCTGCTCCTGGTGCTAGTCAGTTTAACAACAATGGGATGAGAGGCAGAGGGTACTTCAGGCCTCGTTTAATTTGTCAAGTATGTGGGAAAAATGGTCACTCAGCCTTGCAATGTTATCACTGCTTTGACTATGAGTATCAGGGGTTTATGAACACAAATCATGGTAACTACAGTCCTTCTTCAGGCCAGATAACTGCTTCTCCAGTTAGTAATACTCAATCATACTCAGGAAACTGACATGACCCTAATGCTCCTACTCAGGCTCTCTTTGCAGCAAATACTATAACACCCAAATCTTCTTCAAACTCTTATGAAGGTTTTCATGATTTTTCTGCTGCTGGAATGCGTAGAAGTTCTCAACCAAGTTACAACACTCCACAATTTCAACCACACCCACCTCAAAATTACTCACTAGACCAGAATACAAACACTTTCTTAAACACTACCTCTTTGACACCTGGGTTCTCTCATGTTAATGCTCCAGCTACTGCTACTCCACAAACACTCACAGATCAGTCCTGGTACATGGACTCTGGAGCCTCAAATCATATGACTGCCAACGCAAATAGCATGCTGCTGAAGTCTAACTACCAGGGAGAGTCCCAAGTACAAGTTGGTAATGGTCAGTCCATTCCCATTACCCATACAGGTACATTACTGTTACCCTCTGCTGATTCAAATAGAATTTTACAACTTCACAACATCTTGTGTGTTCCTAGTATTGCTAAGAACCTACTAAGCATATCTCAAATCACTAAAGATAATCATGTGATAGTTGAGTTTCATGCTGACCACTGTTTGATAAAGGATAAGCAAAGCAAGGCTATTCTTCTTCAAGGGACAGTAAAGGATGGCCTCTATCAGCTTACCTTGCCCACCATTGTTGCTCTTTCAGCTGATTCTCCACTAAGACCTGCACTTTGTGATTCTAGCTCTGTTTCCGCCTTCAATACCCATGCAATTAGTTCATTCAAACCCAATAAAGAGTATTCTTTGGGTATTGTTTTAGATTCTGCTCTTGCCTGTAATTCTGCAAATAAGATCTTACTTAATGAGCCATCTAGTATTGTTTTACTATGGCATGCTAGATTAGGTCATCCTAGTAGTATGATTCTAAATAATGTACTTGGAAAGTTGAATGTAAGAAAATCAAGTACTGAAAATAAAGAATTTTTTCGTGAAGCATGTCAGTTTGGAAAATTACAACAGTGTACATTTCCTAAGTCTGCTTCCAAGGCTAAGAAACCTTTAGAGATAGTGTACTCTGACTTGTGGGGTCCTACCCCTGTTCTTTCTACTGAAGGGTATAGGTATTATGCTATATTTGTGGATGATTTTAGTAGATACACATGGATCTACCCACTGAAACTAAAGTCTGAAGTCTTTAATGTGTTTACTCAGTTCCATTGTTTTGTGGAGAAGCAATTAGATGTAAAACTGAAATGCTTACAAACAGATTGGGGAGGGGAATTTCGACCCTTTACTAGTTATTTGGAGAAACATGGCATCTTGTTTAGGCACCCTTGTCCATATCTTTATCAGCAAAATGGTAGAGTAGAATGCAAACATAGGACTATTACTGAGTATGGGCTGTCCCTTTTAGCTCATGCAACCATGCCTTTGAAATTCTGGTGGTCAGCCTTTAGTACAGCAGTGTATCTATTCAATCAACTTCCCTCAATAGCTATTGATTTTGTATCCCCTGTTGAAGTCTTATTCCAACAAGTACTAGATTATACTGATCTAAAAGTGTTTGGTTGCTGCTATTATCCATTTCTTAGACCTTATCAAAGGCGCAAGCTGTCTTTTCACACTAAAAAATGTGTGTTCTTGGGTTATAGCCTTGTTCATAAAGGGTTTAGATGTATGAATTCCAATGGCAGATGTTATGTGGTTAAACAAGTTTGCTTTAATGAGACTGATTTCCCATTCAAGTCTGGCTTTCAACTTGATGTGTCTTCTCCCGTTTCACCTGAATTTTGTGAGGTTACCAAGTCCTGGATCTTGCTATCACCTTCGTCCTTATCCAAACCTTCAGATTCTAAGCCTGCTATTTCTACAGACATTAATCAAGAGAGTGCTTCAAAAGAGTCCATTCAGAACTGCAGAATGTTATCTCCCCAAGCTGATACCTTATCCTCTCCTGAGAATATGCCAACGGCATCCACTTCAACACAAACCAATCCTGGAATTCAGCTAGAGGTTGATCTTCCCATCCTAGCTAATAGCAAAAATGTAAATGTTCATCCAATGGTTACCCGATCCAAGGGCTGTATTTCAACTAATATACCTCAGGCTCTTCTATCTACACATAGAATACTCCCTGAACCTACCTCAGTTACTGAAGCTTTAAAAACTCTAGAATGGAAAACTGCTATGGAGGCTGAATATCAAGCATTGCTGAACAATCAGACTTGGAAATTAGTTCCCTATGTAGATGGTATGAACATAGTAGGCTGCAAGTGGGTGTTTAAAACCAAGTTAAACTCAGATGGCTCTCTTTCAAAGTATAAAGCTAGGTTAGTAGCCAAGGGGTTTCAACAAACCCCTGGACTTGATTATTTTGAGACCTTTTCTCCAGTAGTTAAGGCAGCAACTATTAGAAATATTTTATCCTTAGCAGTGTATAATCAGTGGGAAGTGCAGCAACTAGATGTAAATAATGCATTTCTCAATGGAGAATTGACTGAACAAGTTTTTATGATGCAACCAGAAGGCTTCTCTGATTTTTCTCAAACAAGGCAGGCATGTCAGTTCCAAAAAGCACTATATGGACTCAAACAAGCTCCAAGAGCTTGGCTTGAAAAGTTGAAACAGGCTCTATTAAGTTGGGGATTTCAGAATTCTATTTCTGACGTTAGTTTGTTTTTCTATAAAAAGGAATCTGTTGTAGTCTATCTCCTGGTGTATGTAGATGACATATTAGTTACTAGAAACAACTCTCAACTAGTTGATCAAATAGTGGCAGATTTGAATACCCAATTTGCTTTAAGGGTTCTTGGTCCTGTGACTTATTTTCTTGGATTTGAAGTTAGAAGAAATGATAAAGAGTTATTGCTCACACAAAGTAAGTATGCTGAAGATTTGCTGCTAAGGGCTGGTATGAATGAATCTAAATCCTGTATTACTCCCATGGCTACTGGTACTAGGCTGGGGAAAGAAGATAGTGATCAATTTGATCAACCTTCATTGTATAGAAGCATTGTTGGAGGGCTGCAGTACCTGATCTTGCGTTTGCTGTGAACAAGTTAAGTCAGTTTCAGCAGCAGCCCACTACCAATCATTGGACAACATGTAAAAGGGTTCTTAGATACATGAAGGGAACATTGAATCATGGATTATTGTTTACTAAAAAGGAACATTTTCTACTGGAAGCTTATGCAGATGCAAATTGGGCTACTGATGTTAATGACAGGAGATCTACAAGTGGGTATGCTATGTTTATTGGAGGAAATTTAGTTCAATGGAGTTCAAAGAAACAAGAGGTGGTTTCTCTGTCATCTACTGAGGCAGAATACAGAGCCTTAAGCCAAGCTTCTACAGAACTTGTTGGATCAGGAATTTATTTGAAGAAGTTGGTCTTAGTTTGAACAGCTACCCTGTGCTATGGTGTGACAACATGAGTGCTGGAGCACTGTCTTCAAACCCTGTATTTCATGCTCAAACAAAGCACATAGAAATTGATGTACATTATGTGAGAGATTTAGTTGCAAATAAGAGCTTAAGTGTGCAATACGTAGCTTCTAAGTACCAAGTGGCAGACATTTTAACAAAAGCTTTATCTGGAAATCAATTTAGTTATCTGAAGGAGAAACTCACTGTTATAGATTCCTTATCTGATTAGAATGATTGTTCAGTTTGTTCTCTTGAAAATTGTTAATTGAGAATGCAGATGCTGTGTTAAGGATTGAAGTAATGAGGATGAGTTGCTAGATTATGTGGTACTGATATCTGTCAAAAATGAAGCTGCTGGTTAATGGTATGATATAGTTTGTTAATTGAGAATGCAGGCTGTGTTAAGGATTGAAGACATGAGGATGAGTTGCTGGATTATGTGGTACTGATATCTGTCAAAATGAAGCTGCTGGTGAATGGTATGATATAGTTCTCGGAAATTGACTTTATTTTCTCTAAAATTGTGAAGGTTTGAGCTGTGCAAAATAAGCTGAAGTTGTGTGAACTTGAACTATGTGTGGTTCTTCTCTGCTTATATGGGAGTATGATCTATTGAAGGAGTTATGGAATGGTATGTCTACTGATTAAAAATAGGTGTTGCTGATGACTAAAGTTGTGTAAGCTTGAACTTATGAAAAATATGTGTTGATTGATTTCTCTGAAAGTGAACACTGCTGTTGTTGGTGTTTAACTGGAGGTGAGTGGTTGATATGTTTCTGGTACTTGCTGTTCTGTTTGAATGGATATTGTTGCTGTTCTGGTTTTTAATGAACTGCTGATGTTAGTCTGCCAAATGAATGTTGTTGATTGTTTTGGTTGGTGAATGAGTAAAGTTGGGTTGTTGATCATTGGTGTGTGTTCTGCAACATTGGTGTGTATTCTACTGTAATTTTCTGGTCTGAACTGTTGCAATTTTCTGGTGCAGATTGGCGTGTGTTCTGCTGCAATTTTCTGGTGCGAACTACTGAAATTTTCTGGTGCAGATTGGCATGTGTTCTGCTGATTGTTTTGGTTGGTGAATGAGTAAAGTTGGGCTATTGATCATTGGTGTGTGTTCTGCTGAATTTTTTGGTGCGAACTGCTGCAATTTTCTAGTGCAGAGTTCTGGTGCAAATATAGGTGCTGTGTAGAAATGTGAAGTGCTGTGTGTAACTATGGGAAGGATTACTATGTGTGCTACAAGAATGACCTTTCTATGTGTTAACTAGTGTATGTGGAGAAATGGTAGAGATGTTTTGTTTAAGGGGAAATATTAGGAAGTGTTAAGAGAAGTGTTAAGATCAAAACCAAGAGGTGTTTTTGTTTAAGGGGAAATATTAGGCAAAAGAAATGTTAAGTAAAGCTAATAAAGTGTAAAGAGTAAAAGTAGATTGGGGTTTATTGTAATGGCACTAATACTGTGTGTTTTGTACTAAGCACAGTACGGCAGCGTTTTTATATCATCTTCCTGATATAAAAATGCAACTTCCTCTGTTTTCTGCTGTAAGTAAAAACTGCAGTTTATTCTCAACTGTTTTTTCACACATTCTTTAATTCTTGTTAATTTTCTTTTCGAATCCGATCAGAATCTTTAGGCCTCATCATCAGTTCATCTAGGCCCAGACTCATTGATCTGAAATCACCTACTGGACCTAGGATTTACTTAAACCCCAAGGTCGCCTACTTCTTATTTCGGTACTACTCGGATTCCTTCGAAGAGATCTATCACTATTCTAATTCGTCTAAGATTCGAATCTTAGATTAAATAAGACTCTCTCTCCTACTAAGGCAAGGGAATCAAAGGCTTTCCTATTCACTAAGCCACAACCACCAAGGACTCATGGTCCTATTAGGATTCGAAGATCCTACAACTACTATATAAACAGAGGCCCGCCCCCTCACAAGGCATTCAACATTACACCTTCTAACCCCATAGTTCTCACTCTTGAGAGCTATATATCACTTGCCGTAGTTCTAGTCTCCGACTAAACTTCTGGTAACTCTCCCTTTTCCTAACCCTCACTGAATTAGCCTTATTTAGCCTTGTTAACTTGAGCGTCGGAGAGCCTACGGCAAACACCATCCCGGTGTTTTTCGTTTGCTTTACACTTGTTTTCTTGTGTGTGCAGGTACAGTAGATTGCTAATGACCTCAACCTCATGGGATCATACCCCCCATTCCGTAACCGTAGATTTTGTCGTCTACAAAAGCCTATACAAGGCAATTAATTTCCACACAAAATTAGCTCCATCATACTAGCATGACGTCTGGTAGTTCATCCAATAAGATCATTCAAATTCTAAAATCATGATTGGAGCTCGTTATTTTGTAAAACACTTTTGACATCATTCTCGTATACTGGACAGGATCTTCAATCTCCAACTTGCCTGAAATCTAAAACCCACATGATTATGCTTAGAATGATCAGTTTTATTGAGTTTGTAATTGTGACGAGGAAAATATAGTATCCAAAGATGGTGTGACACAACTTCGGCGAACTCCTCTTCGAAGCGAATAATGGGATCGGGAGCAAAATAGAATCTCTCACAGTATACACACATCCATATTTTGGAACTGCCTTTGCCTCTTATTGACATCAAATATCTCTCTTAGTTTTGACACTGCCTGTATCCAAAAAGAACAAATACTGTTAGATAATGTCTAGTAGACCAACATATATCAAGAGATAAAAAAGACTAACCTTATAAAGGTGTTCGTTCAGAATTGAAAATGGCTTACTATTGCAGCGGGTTAATTTCAAGCCGTTCAGGCATGACAAATTCGACGTAGTAAGTCCGGTCGGAAGTTTAATAGACAACGGTAGTTCATTAATAGCAGTTTTGTCTAAAGCAAGCTCTGATAGACAATCCATACTTTGGAAACTTCTTCAGTTTTGAGCAAGAAGAAAGCTGAAGTACTTTTTCAAGAGATTCCATATGAATATATTCTGGAAGACTTGTACAAAGTGTCATATCCAGAAGAGCAATATTTTTGTGAACCAGCAAAGATGGGTGGATTTGGCGCAACCTTCTACATCCTTTAAGAATCACCTTCTCAAGATTTACAGCTTGTGTGTATTGTTTAGGTATTGGCAGTCTTCGAAACTGATGGATGTCACCGTGTTGAAAACGAAATAGAGAAGAAAAAGCTTTAGGAAATTGTACATTCTTGATCATCTTTGAAAAAGCTTTAGCACTAAAAAGCAACTCTTTTTTCATGGGAGAGTTGAGTACTAGGCCTTCAACTACTTCAGTTCCCTAGAATAAAGTAAATTGAAAGAGTGAGAACCAAATTTAGAGACGTTGATATCACCATAGGAGAACTTGATCAGTAGCACTATACCTGAGAAGCCTTTGAAATTTGCTGAGATCAGTTTAAAGCCAGTAGAGAATATGATGGTGAATAAAACACTTGCATTTGGTTTACTTGGAAACCCAGTGAGTTGTCTTCTATGTTTTCATTTCTTCATAGTCCCCACCATTCGCCATCTTTCTGGATGGGAAAACCCTCATCTTTTGAGGTTGTTGAAACTTCCACAATATTGTTCTTCTCTCTCTCTTTCACCATTTGTACTTTCTTAAATTATTATTTATCCATTAACAAATGAAATTCAAAGCAAAATTTTAGTTTGAGTGAATACTGTCCTCTTTTTCTGTACCGTGTATAGGGTGCAGGCTCGTCTTCTCCAGCTCGTGAAGACAGATAGAGTATGACCAGAATTTCATCGTGCTATTGTTAGATGGAAATCCAATGATGGATCAGGCAATCCTGGGTAAGTTGTTTAGCCATGTTTTCCAGTGGCTTCGAATCTGGGTTTCAGGATTCGGATTCAATTGCAACCACCAAGGACCTAAATTCTTCTGTGTTATATGGGGTGTGAGAGTTGGACCATTTTCACTTTCCTGGTGCATTAACATTACCAATAAAATATTCTTTAATGTCTTTCAGATTTGTTGCTGAGAGCATTGGCCATCAGATGAGCAGCCGACTTTTAAGTATGAAATCAGCCAATGCCTTGTAGGAGTTGCCAGCAGGTGGCAATTTAATTTATGCTGGAACTTCTGTGTCAGCCATCACAATTTCAGATTTTAGTAGTACTGGTATTATTGAGACTGGCTTAGGATCAGTTTTGGCTTCTACAATGAAAGAAAGCACAACCAAAGAGGCAAGTACAGATGCTTCTGAGGACACTTTCAAAGTAGCTATTCTCACAGTAAGTGATACAGTTGTATCGGGAACTGAGCCTAATCGAAGGTATTAAATCTATGCATATGCATGCTCTCTCTCTCTCTCTCTCTCTCTCTCTCTCTTATCCTTTTTTAATTCTTTCTGTGTATAGATATTTATTCATCCATCCAGTTTAGATATGTTAAAAAACAAAACAAAGAACATGCCTCTATGTACACCTTTTTGACTTAGTAGGTTTTAAAATCTTTATGGATGCTATAGTGACAGAGCAGAGCTGATGTTCTGCCTTATATGAGTTAGCTATGGAAAAACAGTGGATGATTAGTATCTTTATGTCCTTGGATGACTCAATCTTTCAGATCATCTTCTCTAAGGTGTCCTTAACTAGGAACGCGAAGATCATTACCTAAACTTAATAGCATCTGGATACACCTTTCTGAATCATTGTTTCAGAAAGGTCACTTACTTGATGCCATAGTAAAAAGCCAAGTTGATAACTTTTGTCTTTGTCAGTAGCAATTCAAATAAATCGGTATGTTATGAATAGGTTGCCACTATCTCTGCAAATGGTGAACTTGAGATTGGAGAATTGATAGCAAGAGCAATAGAAAAAGTTGGAAAGGAAGGAGTGATTACTGTTGTTGTAAGAACTTTTATACCTTTAACTATATTATACCATTTAACTTTAACAAATAGGTCAAGCTTTTGCATTAATATGCAAATTTTATAGGATGGAAATACTTTGGATAACGAGTTGGAAGTGGTGGAGGGAATGAAGCTCGGAAGAGGCTATATATCTCCATATTCTATTACTAATCAAAAGACACAGAAATGTGTAACTTTCAAATCTTTGTCATTCTAAATGATGATTTTTTACTTTCATCAAAGGATTTCTAGCAATATTGTGGTAAAATGAGGTTTCCATTATAGGTATGTGTTGATAATTTCTTGTTAAATTGTTTTGTTTCTTTTCAAGTTTATAAGATTGCTACTTCTACCATTGGTTTCGTTTGAGGTTTTACTAGTTATGACTACTACACGAAGAATTCCATTTAGCACCATAAAATTTTCCTTTACATAAAAGTAAAAGCTGAAATATTAAATGTTGCAGGAACTTGAAAATCCCTACATTCTCATTCATGACAAGAAGATATCAGACATGAACTCACCTGTGAGAATATTGGAGCTGGCTCTAAATGTAATTAACTTTTTTTATTTTCTTTTTTATGATGAATGGTAGGTAAATTATCAATATATTCATGGAAGAATTCTCATTCCTTTCTTCTTTTGTTGTTTGATCAAAAACAGAAAAACAGAGAACTCCTTGCTGTGGCTGCGGATGTGGAAAGTGATGCACTAGCTACGTTCATTCTCAACAAGAATCATGCTGGTGTTAAGGTGATTAATTGGCTTTCCTTTGAAGTCACTTATATAGGCATACAACACTAGATGGTGCAAAATGTTATCGTTTGAAGATTTCGACAGATTGAAATGCTCTCAACGTGTTTGTATATGTACACACTCATAGCCACAACCAGATGATGTTATTTTGTGTTCAAGAATATATTTGCCAACCCACACGGGATTGTTATCAATGTTTTAATAAATTGCATATGTAAATACTAAAAATCACAAACAATCTCTTGCCTAATGTTGGTAATGCCAATTGAAGGGCGTTTACTATTATACTGATGAATTTATGATTTTAGGTCTGTGCTGTTAAAGCTCCTGGTTTTGGGGAGAACATACAAGCAAATCTAGATGATCTCGCTATTCTAACTGGTGGAGAGGTGATAGAGTTTTCCAATTTTCAATTTGTGTTTCCCCCTTCTAGTAGTGCTTATGATGACATGATTAACTATTTAATATGTAGGTTATCTTTGAAGATCATGGTCTAACTCTTGATAAAGTCAAAGTAGAAATGTTTGGCACTGCAAGAAAGGTTGGTATATAGGCTTATGGTGTGCTACAAGTGTTTTTTGTAATACAGTTTATACCAGGTCACTGTCTCTGTTGATGACACTATCATTCTACATGGTGGTGGGGATATGAAGTTGATCGAATAGAGATGCGAGCAGGTACGCTGGTGGTTGCTTATGTTCCCTTTGTTGATTTTTTCCTTAAAAGCTTTTTCTTCAGTCAAATAAATATAACCTTTTATTCTTCACTCAATTAGCAAATATAGATTGTATGAGAGAAAACAAATATCTTTATGGAAGTTACACTTGCTTTATAATATTTTACAGCTGGTGGTTGCTATGCCATTATTGTTGCTGCTGATAAAGCGTTATTCTAAATACTGGGCATATTATTTTGTCATTATGTTTTCCTCTTGTTAATTACTAATTGTGCAAGCCTTACCGGCATAACAGTAAGGGGTTAAATTTGTTGTATGCTTTGCTCTTTCAATTGTAATACATTGACCAATGCACTTTTTCTCAAATACTTAATATACACGGGTGACTATTGTTTTGTCTGCTATAATATTTCTCATAAAAGGTTGAGGGTCCTCTTACTCTTTACCCAGGAATTTTTTTGGGATTTGCAGCCCTTCGTCACTCAATTCAAGTAACAATTCTGCTTATCATAAAAATATATGTGAATTTAAACTACATATACAATAAATTATTATACAATATAATTCACACTAATATTGCACTCTTCAATTTCCTTGTCGCATTTGTGATAAACAGTCTAGGATTCCAGATTGGTTTCTTTTAAGTTTCAATATTCCATAAAAAAAAGTATTAACTATTATAGTTTTGACGATTTGGAAAGGTAGATGATTGATTTAATTAATGCAAATTAGCTGTTTGAAGAAAAAAGTGGTTGTTGGTTTTAAGTAATGATCACAAATAGTTTAAACATTTTGGAGATGTGTTTGGATTGGAACAGAGAAGAGAATATCGTTGAGAAAGAGCTTGAAGGGACCCAATCACAATTCACTTAAAATCAACAATAATACTATACTTACAAAGAAATCTTACAAAAATTTCCATACAAAGTGAGATGGCAAAAAATGAATAGAAGAGTGAAACAAAAAGTCAAACTCATTAAATTCACTCTTGTATTCATTTTTTGCCACATCACTTTGTATGGAGATTTTTGTAAAATTTCTTGATAAGTATAGTATTACTCTAAAATCAATACAACTAGAAAAGAATTGGCCCCTAAAGTTGAAAAGCAATAGTAGGACGTTCTTTGCTCAAATAATGGTAGTGTATTTTTAAATATATATATATATATATTTTAAGAATCAATCACTTGTTATCTATTAGCTAGATATAGATAACTGATTATGAAAATTATATATGCTCAAAAAGAGAAATGCTACTCTTACTCACCCTTTTACTTATTTTCTCTTACGCACTTACGTAGCAGATGACATGGCAGATGCCATATCATTCCCACTCACTCAGCAGTCACGTTTCTCCCCTTCAAATTTAAAAAGAAAAAAAAGTTTATTTTAAGCCCTAAACTGAAATTTGGAGGGAACCCAAACAGAGAGTAAACACCCTGTTTTTCGCAAGTTTTAGAATCGACAACATCCCCTCTTGTTCTTGCTGCTTGGTTCTCTCTTGGTTTGCTAGAATAACTCACTCAGCAGTCACGTTTCTCCCTGTAAAATAAACGTAATGAATATTCACACTTCTCATTATTAGCTTAAAAGGATACATATTTATATACACTTGTAGTGTTCTAAACTAGGTATTTGTCATCTAAATGGATAGAAGTGATCCCTATAATCAAGGATTTTAATGTGATCCCCATCATCTAAGTCATGTACATCTGTACACCTCCCCCTCAAGCTAGAGTATAGATATCAATCATACCCAGCTTTTTACAAAGATAATCAACTCGAATCCCAGTTAGAGCCTTTGTGAAGATATCTCCTAATTGTTCTCTAGTCTTCACATACCCATGTGAATCAGACCTTGTTGTAGTTTCTCACGGACGAAATGGCAATCGATCTCATATGGGTTTGTTCATTCATGGAACACGGGATTAGATGCAATATGAAGAACCGCTTGGTTATCACACCTAATTTCGCTGGTACTGAAGTCAAGGCCTATTTCAGTCAGGAATTGATATATCCACATTATTTCACAAACAGCTTGTGCCATCCCTAATTCCGACTCTACACTTGATCGTGACACAACATTCTGCTTCTTGCTCTTCCATGATATAAATTTCCTCCGCAAAGACACAATAGCCTGATGTGGATCTTCTATCTACCTTGGAACGTGCCCAATCTGCATCTGAGAACACTTCAATATGAGAGTGACTATGATTGCCATATAAATACCGTGTCCAGGGGATCTTTTCAAATAACACAAGATCTGCTCCAAAGCCGCCCAATGATGAACTGTTGGGAGGCCATAACTGACGGACAACACTTACTGATATGCAATATCTGGACGAGTCACCATAAGATAGTTCAACTTCCCACCAATCTTCTATATTTCTCAGGATCTCCAAATAGTTCACCATCTTTCGTAAGCTGCACATTAGGAACCATCGAACACTACATAGCTTTGCCCCCAATTTCCCTGTCTCAGTTAATAATTGAGCACATATTTCCTCTGAGAGAGGTATATCCCTCGTTGCTCCTTGTAACTTCAACCCCCAAGAAATACTTCATATCCCTAAGTCTTTGTGTGCAACTGGGTGTGGAGAAAAGACTAAGAGATGTGATGCCCACACTGTCACTCCCAGTATAAACATATCATCCTATACACACTAGAAGAATGATGCTAATTTCAGACAGTTTGGAGAAAACAGAATGGTCAGTTTTACATTTCAGCATACCAAATCTCTCAACAGCCTGACTAAACTTTCCAAACCAAGCACGAGGACTCTGTTTTAAACCATACAGAGATTTGCGAAGATAACATACTTTCCCATACTCCCCCTGAGCAACAAACCCAGGAGGTTGCTCCATATATACCTCTTCCTGAAGATCGTCATGAAAAAAAAGCATCTTGATGTCTAGCTGATGCAAAGGCCAATCATAAGTAGTTGCCATAGAGATAACAAGCCGAATAGAGGTAAATTTAGCCACAGGGAAAAATTATCAGATAATCAACTCCGTAAGTCTGAGCATATCCTTTAGCCACCAGACGAGGTTTTAGTCGAGCAACTAACCCATCTGGATTAACTTTAACTATAAACACCCATTTGCATCCAATTGCCTGTTTCCTTGAAGGTAAATCTACCAATTTTCAAGTACCATTGTCATCTAAGGCATTCATTTCCTCTATCATTGCATTACGCCAACCAGATGGAAGGGCTTCATGAACAGTTTTAGGGATAGTATACAATCAAGGGAAGCAATAAAGGAACATGATGAATGTGACAATGATCATAAGAAACACAAGAAGAAACAGGATAAGTATACTGTCGTTTACCTTTTCGCCAATGTAATAGGAAGATCATCACTTGAAACTGGATCGATGACGAAGAAGTTGGTGCCAACATGAAACGGAGGAGTGGACACGAAGTAAACTTTGACAAGCAGAGGCAAGATCGAGAAGAGCCGATGTAGGAAGCGTAGGAATAGTGACAGGGTCAGAGACAGATGCCAGTTCAAATATTGGTGCAGGGGAGTGAAGGTATAAACTAACAATCCATTATCATCATCATTCGGCGTCTGCAGGAGAAGAGGGAAATTGGTGTTTCTTCTAGAAAGGTAACATCAATGGAAACAAGATACTTATTAGACTTGGACAATAACACCGATATCCTTTCTGAAGTCGAGAATAACCAGAAAGACACATTTAATGACTTGGGATCTAATTTAGTGACTGATGGTCGAACATCCCGAACAAAGCAAGTGCTACCAAATACCCTAGGTTCAAGAGGAAATAATGCTTTATTAGGAAAAAGAATACTGTACGGGGTCTCACCATGAAGGACAGAAGACGGCATGCGGTTAATCAAAAACACGGCGGTGCAAACGGCATCAGCCTAGAATGGTTTAGGAACATTCATTTGGAATAATAAGGCTCTGACAATTTCAAGAAGATGTCTATTTTTCCGTTCACTATTCCGTTTTGAGATGGAGTATCAACACATGAAGTTTGAGAAAATGCCATTCTGGGTCATGTAATTTTGAAAAGAAACTGATGATATTCTTTTGCATTATCACTGCGCAATGTATGACAGAACACTTGAATTGAGTTTTAATCTCAGTACAAAAAGCACAGAATAAGAAAACAAATCAAACGATTTTTCATTAAGAATAACCAAGTCATACGAGAGTAATCGTCCACAAATGTAACAAAATATCTAAAACCAGTTTTAGACAGAACTGGACAGGGACCCCAACATCAGAGTGACTAACTCAAGGGAGAATTAGCTCTTTTATTGACTCTAGGACTAAAACTGACACGATGATGTTTAGCAAACTGACATGACTCCACTCTAATGTAGACACTTTATTAAACTGAGGACACAATCTCTTCAGTGAAGGAAGAGATGGATGGCCCAAACGACAATGTGCTTGAAACGGGATGCAACACTAGAACAAGCGACAGGTGTAGATTTAGTCTATCGAGAATGTATAACCCTCCAGATTCATGTCCTTACCAATAATCTTCTTTGTCGTAAGATCCTAAAACAAGCAATAATCGGGAAAGAATAAACACAACAGTTAAGAGCACGAGTAAGTTGGCTAACAGAAATCAAATTGAAGAAAATCTGGTAAATGTAGACATTTGGCAAGGGAACTGTGGAGTAGGGTAACTGTGCTAGACCCAAGAACGTAAGATGGTGACCCATCTGCTAAAGTCACATTCGAAAGAGTTTTTGATTGATAAGTAGCAAAGAGACTGGGATTACCTGACATGTGATCTGAGCACTAGAGTCAATGACGAATTTGGACGATGAGGAAAGGAGACATGTATTGTCTTACCTGAGTCAGCCATAGCCGTGACAGAGTAGGTGAAGCCTTTAATGATTCCTGGTACAATGAAAACTTGGCAAATTCATCTACAGAGATAAGACCCGCTGATCCGAGTATCATTGGTGGATGCAACATGGGCAGAGGGATTTCTTCTATTTCTGTTCTGAAGTTTCTACAATCACGCTTTATGGTCCTGGCTTATGGCAATAGTGACACACAATTCCTCCCATATTACTAGTTGACCCTCCTCCTTTGTTGCCACTTCAAATTGTGATCGCCCAGATTCATAGTCATTCTTTTGACTAACGAGAGCACTACTAAACTGAACCGGTGGGGTACCTTCTGTGCGAAGTACCCTACTAAAGACATCCTGCAATGAAGAGATTCTTGGACTGGCTAGAACCTGAGATTTAGTAGTCTCAAATTCAGAAGGAAGCACCTGCAGAAAACCTCAGTGACTGTCATTTGCTCCCGTTGTTTTTGTTGAACTTTGACATCAGCACTGAAGGGAACACTGTTCACACACTTCATAAGTCTTCTTAAACTCCATAAAATAAGCTGTAAGAGACTTATCTTGTTTCTCTGCACGGTAGAATGTCTCTCACCCTTCATAAATATGAGAAACATTCCCTTTTCCAGAATACAGAAACTCCAAATAATCTATCAGTTCTTTAATAAACTCACAATGATTTATTAGGCCAAGTATCTCACCGTCAATAGAGTTTCGTATTTGTAGAATCAATCGAGCATCATCCCGGAGCCATGTCTTTTTTGAATCATCCTCAGGTGGATCATCAGTCATATGATCATCTTTATCAATACTCCGCAAATACAGTATAATAGTTTTACGCCAATCATGGTAATTAGTTATACCAATGAGCTTATGTTCTATAATTTTCGACATCGTCGGCATCATTTCCATCACTGGCTTTGTATCAGACATGTCTTAAACAGATGTTAATCCCAATGCACACCACCAAACGGTTAAAACAAAGCAAACTAACTAAATTTCAGTGACACATTAAATCAATCAACAGTCACCACCAACCAGAGGCCACAGCAAGCAAAAAACCAATAACCAAACGAAAACAAAGTGCCGAAAGATCACAACTAAGTCCTCAGAAATATCCAAACAAAGAACAGCAATAAACCAGTAAGAGATTATCCAATCCAGCGCGAAAATGTGCTGTAAAAGTACCAACGAAGTAGACGAAGAGAATCGGAGGAGAAGTCAGCTGTGCACGCGCTCTCATGCGTCGGCACGTGTTACTGTTCATCAGAGTTTTGGGTGGCGCGTGGAGCTCATGCGCAGTGATTCTAAAGGCCGGAACTCAGGGTTTTGCCTATCGAAGTCTTCTGAATCTCCCTTGGGTGGCAGTGTTGAACAAATCTCAACCTAAATAGGTTTTCCCAATTTGAAACCCAAACCCTAATTTCCCAAATTTGAAACCTAAACCCTAATTTCCCAAATTTGAGACCCAAACCCTAATTATCTTTTAAGGCTCTGATACCATGTAAAATAAACGTAATGAATATACACTCTACTATCTTCTTAGCTTAAAAGGATACATATTTATATACATTTGTAATGTTCTAAACTAGGTAGGTGATCAATCTAAATTAGGATTCTTATAATCAAGAATTTTAATGTGATCCCCATTATCTAAGAAGTCATGTACATCTGTAACACTCCCTTCAAATTTAAAAAGAAAAAAAGTTTATTTTAAGCCCTAAACTGAAATTTGGAGGGAATCCAAACAGAGAGTAAACACCCTGTTTTTCGCAAGTTTTAGAATCGGCAACGTCCCCCTTGTTCTTGCTGCTTGGGTCTCTCTTGGTTTGCTAGAATAACTCACTCAGCAGTCACGTTTCTCCCCTTCAAATTTAAAAAGAAAAAAGTTTATTTTAAGCCCTAAACTAAAATTTGGAGGGAACCCAAACAGAGAGTAAACACCCTGTTTTTTGCAAGTTTCAGAATCGGCAACATCCCCTCTTGTTCTTGTTGCTTGGGTCTCTCTTGGTTTGCTAGAATAGATAGGGCATCACCGCTCTTTGCTAGGATAGGAGAAGGACAGGCATTAAAGCCCGAGAACAAATGCTTCAAGGCTATACCTCCTTTGTCCCAATCGGCCATTACCAGTAGCAGAAGATTACCCAACTATAGGACCCCAGTCATCTTCTTCCCATCCCATAGTTTCTGTCCCTTCATCCCCGCCCAGTCGCTAGGCACCTGCGAAGGAATTGAGCTTTTTTATTCAACAGAGCATGTTTCGTTAACTCTCTTTACACACTTATATTCAATATGTATGCCTGTTTCTATTTCTTTTCATCTCCATTTATAGGGAAGACTATTAAACCAAGCTACTCTAGACTGTTGTTGGTGAAGTTAGAGCCTCTAGACTGTTGTTGTTCTTGGATGAGCCCTAAGAGGCTTTCAGTTTACTAGGATTGCCAATGAAGTATTAGTTCTCAAGTGACATTTTTTTTTTTTCAGGAGGTAAAAGGAATATATAAGAGGAATGGGCACTAGGGAATAGCTGTAGTTGTTGGAAAAATTCCACTGTAAGGCAAAATGGTATAGTGAAGGAAGATAAAGTGAACTTTCCAAGTGTAGCTTATGTTTGGTATGTGAATTTATGAATAATAGATGTATTGGTATTATCTGAATTTAGTTTTAATTGAATGAATAGGGAGAAGAGATCTTCAACAACTTGCTTGTTGACGGGAATATGATGGAAGCTATAGCAAATTTCTGATGTCACTATATCTATAAGCTCATAGATTTTGCAATGGAAATTTTGGGATTGCTACTTCTGCTTTCCAATTACTGTTATTCTTAATGTTCAATTTGTTAGTAAAATTGTGTGCAGTCCTAAACAGCCATGACATACATGGTTATGATACTTATATGATATCATAAATTCAAGCCTATAGACCGTGTGTCTTTATCTTGTTTTTGAGTTCTATATTCCTCTGGTTTACTACTATTGTATCTTAACAATATAAAACTTTTTTTTCACTTTCTTTGCAGGAGAGTATCATTGCCCGGTGCTAAATAAAGTTTTCACTGAATTTACTGACATTGTTGCTATCAGGACTACAGCGAACGTGTTCTATTATGACGTATGTTTGTTGGATTGTCATCACTTTTAGTGATATGACTTCAAGTTCATGTATATAGTATGTAGATATATTCTTCATTTGTGTACTCTTGTCTTATAGGCAATCAAAGAATTAAACATCAAGACGAAGAATTGGAAAGAGCTTCTAACTGATGAACCTTTCACTAAGGAAGACCTTATAACAATTCAGGTAATTAGTTGTTTTGAACATATGATGTTTAGCTTTGTTGATTGCATGGTGGTTGTTTTAAGTGGCATGAATTTTATGATGTAGCTAACATCATAAAATTCATCAAAGGTTTTGTTTGTGTATTTTAGTAATGGGTTTTGATTACAAACTAACTGTTTGTGGTAATGTCTAGCCATCTGCAACAACGACCACTACCGAGCTCAGCCACCTTTTAGTCAAGCACTCACTTTCACTGAAGATTAATCCATATGAAACTAGTGTTCGGAATTATTAATCACCACTTCCAATAATTCAATATTGAACTTAGTTAGAAATCACAAATATAATTTGCAAGAAATGAGAATTAGATTAGAGTTGAATGGGAAATTTTATTGATGTATCTTATATCTAATACACAAATATTAATAAGGAACTGGTATGGCTGTGGATGGACAGGACCAATGTCTAGATGTTAACTTCAGTGAATTGAAACCAAGAATTTATGGAAAAAAAAAAAAAAAATGGAGCTTTATTAGAGTTGACTGAGTGGGTGGTTCTGTTTAACATTACATGGCAGATTTTTGGTCATTGACAACCTATACTTAAACCATTTCATGGATGGACATGGACATAGATTATGTTGCTTTTTAACTTGTTTATGTTTGAAACTTGCTTAATATATTACAAGTTTGACATTGTTTATTTAGTTGTCTTTAATTAGGTTTCAAAGTTTCTAGATGTAGAACTAGATACATTAAAATTATGAAATTACCCTTGTTAATTAGATTATATCATAAAACATTAATAACTACTTACCCAAAAAAAAAAAGCATTATATAAACTGTTTATTTCATGGTCATTTGTATATTTGAAGATGTGTATTTCTTATGGTATTAGCCTTTATATATACGTAGAACCATTTAAGTGTTGGACATTCAAAGAACATAGAATTTGAGGTGGAACTATGGCCTTCTGCACCTACTTTGTACTAATTTAATTTACTATTGAATTCTCAATGTTGGATGCACTGTTTATCAACATTAGTATTTTTTAATAGAATCTATTTCTGAAGCCAATATTGTTTGCACCGTAAACCAAAAATGGAAGAGGCAATGAAAAAAAGCCGGGGACTCTTTTTTGAAGCCAATGTTGTTGAGGTAAATTTTTCTTCATAATCTCTTCTTCGTTCATTAATATGATTTTTAATCTTTGATTGATATCATGTCTACCTCTTATAAGTTTATTATATTCTAATTATGTCTATTATAATATCAAAAAATCAGGATAATGATTGTCAAGAAATAGAGATACAAGAACTGTAGAAGCGGAATGGGAACCTAAGCCTGGATGGTTTTTGATTCTTTTGATGAGGTTTTCCAATACTACAAAAACTATGGGAATAAAATGGGTTTTGAATTTTGATAAGATCTTCAAGAAAGGAGATGATGGGAGTTGAAATACTTGAAAATGGCTTGTAGTTGTAGTGAAGTCGAGCAATGAATCTAAAAAAGCATTTAACATGCATCCAGTGACAAAAACTGATTGTAAGGCTCGTATTACTACATCTCTACGTTATGATGGAAAATGGAAAATATGTTCAACTATCGTAGATCTAACCATGACTCACTACTCCTGGCAAAATGTAGATTTCAAGAGAAATCGAATAATACAACCGTTTGTGAAAAGAAGTTTGAAGTGAATGATAGAGCCAAGATTAGAGTGCAAAATTTCAATTCCTTAGCAGTTGAAGTTGGCAAGTTGAGAATTTGTCTTTCCTACGAAAGATTGTAGGAACTACATTGATAATGTTAGGGGCTACGACTTGGTGTTGGAGATGCTTCTGCAATTCAATATTTTTTTGAAGATGCAAAGGAGAATTCGAATTTCTTTTACATAATGGATTTAGATGAAGAGTGTCGATTGTGAATGTTCTATGGGTGGATGCAAGGAGGAGGGCTGCATTTAAAGAATTTGGTGACGTCATGACATTGACACTACATATTCGACCAACAAGTATGATATGCCGTTAACTGCTTTTGTTGGTGTTGATCATCATGTCATTCAACATTGCTAGGTTATGGGTTAATTTCTTATGAGACACATATACATTTGTTTGGCTTTTTCGGTTTTGGCTTACATGTATGTGAAATTGTGCTCCTAAGGCAATAATCACCGATCAAGATGAGCAATGCAAAATGCAATCGAGATTGTGTTCCCCGATACCTGACATAGATGGTTTTATGGATATAATAAAAATTGCCTGCGAAGTTAAAGGTTATTGTGAATATAAAATATTAAGTTTAGTTTACAAATATTGTCTATGATTCGTTGACACGAGAGGAGTTTGAGGAACGATGGAATAGGTTCATTGATAGGCACAACCTTCACGCTAATGAGTGGTTACTGGATTGTATAATGAAAGACAACATTGGGTGCCGACATTGTTAAAAGATACCTTCGTGGCAGTATGTCTATTACTCACGTAGTGAAAGTATGCATGCATTCTTTGATGGGTATGCAAATTCAAAAACTACTCTAAAACAGTTTGTTGAACATATGAGAGTGCATTGCGTGATAAAGTGGAAAAAGAAAGGAAGCTGATTTCAGATCTTTCAAATCATGGATCCCTTGCATGAGCGCTTATCCTATGGAGAACACAATATCAATGCATACACCATGCTAATTCAAATTTTCAACAAGAGCTGGCTGCTAAACTCTATTGTGAAATATCTTCTTGCAAAGATGTTGATTCATGTAGGAATTTAGTGAGGAAGTTGTTTGGTTGGAGAGACGTGTCGTCGTGATTCTTTTCCAGTGTGCTTTGATGAAAGTATGTGTGACATTCATTGTAATTGTCGATTGTTTGAGTTTGGAGAATTTTATGTCGACATCATGTTGTGTTGCTTCATAAGGATATTTATCAAGTTCCTGAAAAGTACATTAAAGGCGGTGAGGAAAAATATACAGATGTCACACCAAAGTTCGCATAAGTTATAACAGTTGGAGCACGGATGCTGAAGGACAACGTTTTGATCAGTTGTTAGTGCATTTTCTGTGGTAGCAGATTTGGCATCAAGCAATGACAATGCCTGTAATAAGTGATGCAAATGATCAGTAACTGAAGAAGGATTTGGAGTTGACTGAAAAGGCCACAAATTATATAACAAATTGTAAAAGCGTTCAATGTAATTCAAAAGGGGAGTAGTATTATCCTGACTCCATGGTCTATTCGTAACAAAGGCCGACCTCCATAAAAAGAAAGCAATCAAAGGTTGAACAAATTGTTCGTAAAGCAAAAGAAGAAATTGTGAAACCAAGTGAGTGTTGTAGCAACTTTTTTAGCATTCAAACTGTGTTTAAATAATTTTATGTATCATTTTTCAATAAGTGTGTTAACCTCGTATGTGGTTCATATTATAGTACTCATTATTAAGTTTTATGTTTAGTCAATTAGTCTTTTTAAATTACCAACTATAATTGGCCTCATGATTTATAATTTAATTTGATTGAAGGCTGGGAGTTCCACAATCACAAACTGATGTTGGTGCATTAGCGATTAACGTCCAAGGAGTGAAGCTAGAGGTCATGTATTAAGTAAGGTTATAGATGTGCTTGAATTGTCTCTTTTTTTGGAATTAAAGTGAGATGATGGAGTTGTGTAATACATTGGTTGTGGTTTGGACTGTTTAAATTTTTTAAACAGTTTCATTGTTCCTTGTAGCTAGAAAATTAATGTTACTCATTCTAGCTTGTTTTGATAGTGTGTGGTAAACTTCACTAAACATGTCGTGACATTTCCAGGGTTACACGGAGGTGTCAGTTAGTTCCAGGCCAGCTCCCGCAGATGCAGATTAATGATTGACGTCTGGTGTTAGACTGGTGCAGGTAATGAAGTATACTGAAAAATGGTTGTTCTATTTTTCTGTGTAAGGGTTGTATATTCTTTGTTGATTTTGGATCTTCATGTGTTGCTTTGTCCTTGGACATGTCCAACGGCTTGGTTCTTGCTTTTGTTACATTGTTTTCGGTTGGATATTGTACCTTGACTTGGTTATACCTTATACATTTCTTATGCATTGTGAAAGAGCATTTTGTTAGCATTTTAGTCAAAGAGCTGGTTTGTACGGTGTTTGAAAATTCTGAATGCTTTTTATAGTTTCTGCAGTGTTTTGTTCGCTGGGATTGATGTTGGGGCTTGTTGGAGTTTCGGCACTTGAATCCTGCATTTTTTGTGTGCATGTACAAAAGTCTGGTATTGGACATTGTTAGGGGAATGCAAATTTGTATGGAGCAATATTTTGCTTGTTACTTGTAAATCTTTTGTGTATAACATTATAAGAATTGTATATCCTTGACTATTCTTCCTATTTTAATGTGTGTTGTGTACTCTGATTTTTTGTAATGCAACCCATACAAGAACAAAGTTTAGAGTTTTGTTCTGTACAAGTTTTATAGAATTTACTTCAATATATTTTCTTTTAATTTAATGCAACATTGAGCATAGCATCCATTCCATAAAACAAAGCAATTGAGATTAAATAGACACCAAATAAATCATATTTCCTATTGAATGCATCACATTAAATCATAAATTCTGTCGTCTATATAACATCAAACTTTGTCAACAATAACAAATAAAAATAGTCTCCTCTGCAATGAAATGATTTGCTACTCTTGGGTTGATTTGCTGCTGTTGCTGGGGCCTTTTGGTGCTATTGGTGTCTTTTTGCTGCTGTTAGGGCTGCTGTCCCTGGGGCTGTTTTGCTGCCACTGGGATTTTTCTTTACTGTTGCTCGAGGTGATTTTGCTGCTGCTGTTGGGGTTTTGGTTGCTGCTCCTGGGTTGATTTCTCGCTGCTGCTGCTGGTTTTTTGGCTGCTGTTGGGGTTGCTACCCCCTGGGGCTGTTTTGTTGCTGCTAGGGGTAATTTCGCTGCTGCTGCTGATGTCGCATGGCCATAGATCAAACATGCATCACGTAAAGGTACGATAAAGTTAAGCTGCTAACATGGAAGCAACACAGGGCTGCACATCAGAACACAGACAGAAAATGTTAAACAAATAATCGCATGCTGATGTGTGAACACTCCAGAAGCAACAAAGGCTCTAACAAAAATACAATAATTAACAGACAACAAGAGGTAATAAACATATTGAAACGAAATAGTAAAAAGTTCTGTTGGAAAATGGAGAATGAAATTGAACCATGTGAGGATTCAAACCCTCCGCAACTAAAGAGAAAGAATAAGTATATCCTCTCTATCTATCTATCTCTTGCTTTGACATTCACATAGAATGTGTGTGTGTGTGTGTGTGTGTATAAACACATAATTGACAATAAAAGCAACCTTCAACTGTTCCCAAATACAAAGCATCAAAGTGTGTTTTTCATGTTCTTGCCTAAGTTCAAATTCCCATGGGAAATAATACAAATTATTGACTTAGACAATATGGTCTCAATATGTCTAGTAAAACCATATATAAGATGAAAGAGAAACAATAAGTCGACTAGAACTGGATTTTAGTCTTTATAAAAAAGTTCCCAAGAGACCTGCACCATCTTGCAAATGGACCTGTTGCTTCATTATTTGCAAGCGCAGTTTCAATTCACTGTTCTCTGCAGTCAGGCCATTTGTATCTCTTTGCTCACAAGATGCACATTTACATCAATTAATTTCATTCCTGGCAAAATACATTCAACATAAACTTAAAACGGAGAAAGCTTATAACAAAAAAGATAAGTCATGACATCCATACCACAGAAAACCAATATTAATTGATTTCATTGCTGGCCATTAATGTGTCTGCATTAACACAGATTAACTGCACAAAATTCAAGCTCTTAATTTAGTCAACTAGAATATTAAAAAAAGAAAAATTACAAACCTGAAGACAAATAATTGAAGATCTTTCACACAACAACCAGTCCAATATTCTTTGACAGCTTCTACAACCCAAGCACAATCAAAATCAACATCATCATTTCCTCTTCACCGAATATCAATTAATATCATAACTATAATTTAAAAACCAGATATGTTTTCTCCTCACATAAGCATTAGCACAAACAATTAGCATGTAATCAAAATCCACTACTAAAATACACAAAACCTTGACATCATCTACCCTTCATTCAAACATTAACACAAACATTTAACATCCAACCATTAACACAAACATTTAAAGCGTCATTCATGACAGCTTCTACAACGAAAGTCGCGGGCACGACCATTGAAACCAACAAGAAAGGAAGAAAATAGCAAGAAAGTAAACTGAAAGCCTCTTAGGGCTCATCCAAGAACAACAACAGTCTAGAGGCTCTAACTTCACCAACAACAGTCTATAGTATCTTGGTTTAATAGTCTTCCTTATAAATGGAGATGAAAAGAAATAGAAACAGGCATACATATTGAATATAAGTGTGTAAAGAGAGTTAACGAAAGATGCTCTGTTGAATAAAAAAGCTCCATTCCTTCGCAGGTGCCTAGCGACTGGGCGGGGATGAAGGGACAGAAACTATGGGATGGGAAGAAGATGACTGGGGTCCTGTAGTTGGGTAATCTTCTGCTACTGGTAATGGCCGATCGGGACGAAGGAGGTACAGCCTTGAAGCATTTGTTCCCGGGCTTTAATGCGTGTCCTTCTCCTATCCTAGCAAAGAGCGGTGATGCCCTATCTATTCTAGCAAACCAAGAGAGAACCAAGCAGCAAGAACAAGAGGGGATGTTGTCGATTCTAAAACTTGCGAAAAACAGGGTGTTTACTCTCTGTTTGGGTTCCCTCCAAATTTCAGTTTAGGGCTTAAAATAAACTTTTTTTCTTTTTAAATTTGACGGGGAGAAACGTGACTGCTGAGTGAGTGGGAATGATATGGCATCTGCCAGGTAAGTGAGTAAGAGAAAATGAGCAAAAGGGTGAGTAAGAGTAGCATTTCTCGCTCAAAAATTATTTTTTAAATAAGGTTGACTAAATTGGTCTTCGTAAGTGATTTACATTGATGTAAAATATTGTATAAGAAAATAAAATAAAATAAATTTCATAGATTGTAATTGAATAATTAATTCATACATATAAAAAAGTAGAGCTATCATATTTACCCACAGTCTCTTATAAATTATTAAAATATATATTTTTTTGAAACCATAGGAATTAGGATAGGTCAATAAAATTGTAATTCTATAAATAAAAAAATAATAAGAAAAAAAGAATCAGGATATTGGACTGTTATGAGTTTGGACTTTTCTATAATTGAATAGAGCATATATGAACTAAAGATAAGCACCCAATACCTCATAATAGAAGAAAAATTAGGATATTGAGCCGTTATAGTTTGGGCTCGTCTTTAAATGAATTAGTGATGAAAAAAGTCTCGCTCTTCGCTCATTTTAAATCCTCTATCTCTCTTTCTAGAACTAAAGAACAGTTAGAATGAAAGAAATACAGACATGATAACAAATATCGGCATGATGGATTCGGCTTACTTCGTTTGCAGATCAGAGTTTCTCTCTTGGATCAACTCTCTAAAGTCGAAGAGGTTTTTCTTCTTTATTTTATCTTCAATTTATAACCCTAATTTCTTTTCTATTGTTTTCTGTTATTGAGAAAAGTTTGTTTGGATCTTTAAATTGAAATTGTAGGCATGTTTTGGTGCAGTTCTTTGCCAACTGATGGATGTGGTTCATTCAGGGATGGTCCCATGCACAAAGTCAACTTTGAATCTTTGATGCCTCGAACGAGTACATGATTAATTTAGACTACAAGGTCTTTTAAGATCACCAAGGTTTAGTTTAATTCTCGTTCTTGGGCCTTTCATGGGAGAGAGATACTTCTGCTTTTTGTGGGCTTCAGTTACAAAGCATTTAATGGAGGTTCGTTTTTCCTTGATCAGTGGGATTGGGGTGCTGTTGTTTCTTAAATTTTATGAAATACAAATTTGTGTTGTGGACTACTGGTACACCTTTCTGTGATTTAATCTTTCTTTAATAACATTTTCTTGTTTATAAAATAATTAAAAAAAAAAAAGAGGTCCTGGAAGAAACTAAAAGGTGAATTTTGTCTTTAAAATCTGCCCCTCATGTGCCTATATTTTCTTGCCTGAGTCAGGTGTATCAGGTTATATGTTCTCTGCTAAATGTGGGTTTTACTAACATGTTTTCCCTATCTCTTTGATAAAATATTTAGCAAAATCTGGCAAAAAGAGAGGGAGGAACCATAGATAGAAGCCAGGATATTGCTCGTTTAGCAGAGTACTACAAGCTGTGAAGCCCACAAAAAGAGAGTTGGGAGCTTTCCCTGGAAATCTTGGCGAGTAAGTATCTTTAGTAGGGGATAGAAGATATCGATCCTTTGAGTTTTACATTTATTCATTTTGTTCTTTTGGATAAGTAAGAACTGAATAAATGCCAACAAAGAAAAAAGAGGAACAAGTTGGGGAGCATTTTATTTTCCTTTATACATTGCTATCCTTATGTTTCTTGTACTGTATTGTCTTCTCTGCTCTAACACACACTCTCTCTCTCTATTCAGTACATGTGTTTATCATTTGATTATGTTGTGTGTGTGAGTTAAGCTTTGGCATCTGGAAAATTTGATTGTGGCATCTATTGCCTAAGATATTGTTCTTTGGTGTAAGTACTTGAAAATATGCCATGAGTTTTATTTTGTTTTTAATATTCATTGTGGTTTTCCTAGAATTTGTACCAGGAATGTTTGGAATGCCTCCACCACCACAAAGTCAATCGACTACCATATTGTGCGCCAAGCTGGAGTTCCCTGGGTAGGGCAATCAAAGGTTGATTCTACTCAAATTCCAAGGCCCGATCCAAGTTCCTCAGTTATCATGTATCAAAACCCATCATGGCAATCAGGCTAATCCTCCTCCAGTATATTATCTACCAATTCTGAAAAAGAGTGAAAAATTTACTTGATTTAATTTGCTATTTGGGTGTATGTTCTGAAATTTAATCTTTGACTTAGCTCTTCCTTTTTTTTTTCGTTTCACCTGGTTTCTTTGCTGCTGTAACATAATTAATTTGCTTTTGTGTGAGATCCATAGTGCATTTTTTCCATTGGACATTCTGATTCCTTGTTTATTTGTTTAAAGCCTTCTATAAGTGACTTCATTGCCATGGACACTGGGAATTGCAGTCCGCGTTACATGGGGTGCACAATCAATCAGGTGTTGATCAAATACTTAATATACACAGGTGAATGTTGTTTTATGTGCAGCAATTTTTCTTTTAAATGATCTCATATATTGAAGATAATAAAAGAGATATGATAGGTTCCACGTACAGCTGACCTTTAATAATAGTGTCAATTTCCCTTTAATATGGGTGACTGTTATTTGTGTGCTGTAATTAGTTTCATTGAATTCATTAATAATATTCTCATGTTTGACCTTTTGGCAACATCAGGGATGCAGCTGGCTTTGTTGGTCCAACCATTGGCCCTTTGTTGTCCATCTGAGCCTGTACAAGTAATGCATGAATGCTGCCTGAGTATAACTTTTGTTCAGATTAAAATCTCAGTGATTACTGCATTTGTTTGTTAATGAAATAACAATTACCTCTACCAATGCATTTCGTCTCTTTAATACAACTTTTCTTGTTTCATAGATTGTGGACTTTGGAGAAAGTGGTCCAATTTGATGCTCTCGTTGCAAGGGCTACATAAATCCTTTCATGAAGTTCACTGACTTCATCTGTAACTTATGTGGTCAGTTTAAATATTACTGCATTTCTATGTTGAAGTATTAAGTAATTTGCCACAAAGTTATTTGTTGTTGGTCTATGGAATCTGTGTTGCATTTGGGTTTCATTTTTCTCTTCACCAAGGCTTCCAATCTTGTTTTGGGATTGTTAACCCTACTTTGTTCCTTAGTTACTGCTAATTTTCTCTTGGAAGCCGTTTAATTGCCACCTATGAGATGGGTGAAATAGCTTAGTTATATGCTATCAAGTATCATATATCATGATGTTTTATACTTGTCCTACGTTAGTGTTGAAATTCCTGATGTCCAGATAGTAACTACTCTCTAGGATTTCTTTGTTATTCCTTAAGTCAATGGTATTTAGTGTTTGCTGAACATATATCATGTAGCTAAAATGTTTTTCCTCAGCGAAACTTGGGTTTGGGCATTTGACTTGCCATCCATGACGTAAGTGTTAATGATGTGGGTGCAATAGCTTAGTTGTTTACTTTGAGTTTTTATAGAGGATAATGTTGTATGCTTGTCATACAGTCTTGTTGCTCTGTTAATGGTTTGAATGGAAAAAGGTATATAGCAAGGTTATATCCAATAGGAACTATGTGGCTAAGGACATAAATTTTGGAGTTGGAGTTCAGGCCGCAATGTTGCAAGGTGTATCCGAGGTTGCAGAAGCTGTGAAAGTTACAATCGGACCTAAGGTATCCATTCTTTCTTATGTTTCCAGACAAATTCTATTTTGATTAGTGTAATATATTTTTGATCCATTATAGTAAGATAAGTAGAGGCTCAATATATATTGAGAATTTTTTTGTTTTCTTCTTAGTGTTTTTCATTCCTAATTCATTGATTCAGAGCCGTAATGTGATTATTGAGAAAAGTAGAGGGGATCCGAAGGTCGCAAAGGATGGTGTCACTATGGCAAAAAGCATTAAATTCAAAGACAAGGCCAAGAATGTTGGTGCAGATCTTGTAAAGCAGGTTGCGAGTGCAACTAATACAGCCGTTGGAGATGGTAATTTCTTCTTACTGTTTCTTGACTTTATTTTGGTAACCTACTAGAATTTTTCATGGATTCATATGATTCCAAATGATGAGTTGGGTTGAGCTATTTTTGGTTGGCAGATTGGAAAAGCAAAGCAACTTAAGAAAAAGCGTTACAAAACCTCAAGAAATCCTCAACTTTAAGTTGCTTGGGTTTTGCTTTCTTTTTTGAATTGAGTCTTTGAGTGATGTCCTGATTTTAACCGTCTTGAAGTTTACATGTACGAGTCAACTTGGAATGGCGGTAATTTCTTTGGCTTTGGTGACAGTCGTACTCTAATAGATTCTACACATGCATGACTAGAAGAAAACCAGTATTTGTACAGCTAGCCATCAACTTTAAATGTTGGAAGCACAAATTTGAGTATTGTTTGGTCCTATCAATTTCAGTGGTTATATGATGATACTATGAAAGCCTCAGTGTCTAGACTCCAGTATGTCCAGTATGAACTAACAGCCTTCAGAGGAGACGTAATCTTTTTCAATATGTGTTCTTTCACATCACTTAAGTAGTTCTTATCGCTGGAGATTTGCTACTTATCTCTTTTGCAGGTACAACTTGTGCTACTGTCCCGACTCAGGCAATACTAACAGAAGGCTGCAAATCTGTAGCTGCTGGTGTAAATGTGATGGATTTACGCAGTGGTATTAACATGGCAGTTGGTGCAGTCATATCTGACTTAAAAGGCAAAGCGCAAATGATTAGTACCCTAGAAGAGATTACACAGGTAGTGGAATTTCTTTAAAAAAGTTATAGTGTAATCTCTTTAAAAAAGTTATGTATAAGTTGTGTATGGTGAGAAGCATTGAGCTACGATATAATTATAAGAAGTCTTACCTAGTCTAGAGTAGGAGACATTGATGATTTTTTAGTGTCCCAAAATCTCTAACATCTTCTTGTAAATGTGGTAAATGGTTGTAGGCTGGCTAAAGATATATCTGTTTTGATAAATTGAAAAATGTTAGCTATTCATATTTGCTTCTGGGTTTCAAAACTTGAATTTCAATAGTAATGCTGCTTTGTTTTGTTGTAGAAATTGGATGGTATTTCTGAATTTCAATAACATTAAACTGTGTAGCTACTTGAATATTCAACCTTTTTGGAGCTGTTATGTATTTGTTAATGCTTTCCTTTCATTTTTATGGTTGTTTAGCAAGTGTGTATCAATGGCATATAAAAATTGTGGAGAAGCTTTTATTTCTTTGTTTGTGCTACTTATTTGTTGGTCCTTCTTGTATCAACTGGTTTTGCGGCCTTTGCATCTGCTGTTAGAATTTCCTAATTAAACTTAATGCACTGATTTGATTGGTTATTATGACAACAAAAACTATTGTTATTGGATTGGTCTTCATAAACATTAATACATATTTTTTTGAGTCAACAAGTTTCTATCATACTAAGACATGGATAGCGATCTACACAAAAATGATGTAAATATAATCCAAATTATATGATTATTTAATAAGTCCTCCAAAAAATTCATGCCATCTTCACATAAATATGATCATCACAATAAAAAAATATCACACACTCTAAAGTATTTAATCGTTTTATATGCTTGTGGCATAAGAGATGAACAAAGAAATAAAAGTAAATATTTTTGAGTTTGGGCTGACATTGGGCTGTCCATATATTTTTGTACTGGACCTAATTTGGGCTTCGGAAATCACCTTGAACCAAACCATTGCCAATATTCCATAGCGTACCATCACCAGTTCGCCATATTTGTACTTTCTAAAAAAAATGCAAAAGTTTAATACTTATATTGGGAAACGTTAAGAAGCAGGTTGGAATGTTCCCTGAATGAAAACAAGCTTTTGTTAATTATTTATTTATCTATTTATTGTATGAATATTAAATTCTTTTCGTTTATGTTTGAAGAAATGCGTGAGAGAACTTCACATCCTTGATCCTTTTAACTCTTTGTTTGTAGAAATGTCTACAAGTATTTATATAATATTCACGTTTGGAAATCAAGTTATTTACGTGTTTACTAATTTTGTGTTGTATAACTTGGAAACGACATTCATTATGATTCTCAGTTAGAGCAAGAATTGGAAATTGAAGTGTTTAGATAGTTGTTATAATAAAATCTGAGTGTTTTTTCTTTTTTTAATGCAATGTATTGTTGATTAAATCTCGTGTTTTAAACAGAATTCAAAGTTGATGACCATTAATGACGTAGAATGCCAAAATTTACCTACTTTTTAAAGTTTTCTCTTTAACTAAATAAATTGATAGAAAAGAATAATTCTATTAATTAATAAAAATAAAAACAGAATAATTCTTCAACTAAATAAATTCTTAGACTTCTTTATAAACGATGTTTTTCCTATTTTTTCTCTACACTCTTTAAAACTTTCTCCAATAGCCTCAGCCTCCAACGGCTCTTTCTCACCTCAGTCTCCAGCGACCCTTTTTTTAATACAATAAATTCATCAATTTTTTCTCTATTCTTTTCGTTGATTTTATTATCTTTTGATCCCAAGATCTTTCAAACTGAAGTTACTCGATTTTGAAGGGTTTTTTTTATTTTATTTTAGTTTTATTTTGGAAGGTTAAGAGTTGTTCAGTTTCATATTTAGGGTTTTGGCTTTGTTATATAATTTTTTACAGTGAATTAAAATTAGGATGTTAATGAGATGATGAATCAAGGAGGCAATACTCTAACCGTGGCTTCACTTGACCTTAATTTGGTTGAGGTAATTATTTTTCTTTTTATATTTATTTCATGTTTTTAATTTGAATGGATGAATTGTGTTGTATAAACCAGTAGAAATTTTGTTTATGTTATTGTTAAATTGATAGCTGGAATATGTTTAGTAGAATTTGTAGCTTTTATTAGGGTTTATGTGTTCAAAAATAAAATTTGTTGATCTAGCGGATAAATCAATTAGAATTAGATTATAATGCATTGTTTCTGCGATTATATGCTTTTCTTAGAATGTAGAATGTGGGGTTTGAATGGGGCATAGGTTTTGAATTGAAGTTTGTTGAGCATTTCTGGGTTATAACAAAGAAGAAAAAAAGTAGTGTGTGGTTATCTTAGCTAGAAGTAAATAGTAGTGGATGTCGATGTATTAAATTGGGTTTCAGGTTGTGATGTTCTTTAGCAAATTTGTAGCAATGTGTAGTAGGAAGGAAAAATTGTTGATTTAGTTGCTCTGATTGATTTATAATAGAATTGCAACTCACTCTATCAATATACTGAAGTTCACAGCATTGCTTTTAAATGTTCATCCCTTGTATTTTCAGTTTTTGATTCTAATGGAGTTAAGAAATAATTATTTGGTTCAGAACTTTAGCCGAATTTATTTTCTTCTTGGATCCAAATTGGATATATGAAAAAGGTTGCCTATTTTACATATCTTCAGGTTTCATTTTTCTTAGTCTACTTATGTCAAGTCAAAGAGCTCTTGCTTCTGTCTCATGTCTAAGTGAACTCTGCTTATGGATGTAATGCAGTATGAAAATGAGTACAGCTGTTTGTTTTCATCATAAAGGGAATGGAGCATAATGGAATAAGATGAGTTACATACTAAATTAATCCTTGAAAACTACCTGAAACCACTATAAATAATTACATCCACTCTTCTAACCTGGTAGATTACTCTTATGGATGTTACTGCTCCTTTACCTAATAATTAGCTCCAATAAGTAAACTTATTAAATCTGATTTGCAATTTTTACATTCTTACCAATTTACACGATGACCACACACTACCTGTGTGGTTTAAAAATATATATAATATATGATTAGGCTATTATAACACACAACATTCTTGGTGTATTACTCTTTAAGTAGAAGCCTTTTCATTGAGCGTTGTAGGTGGCTTGTTAATAATTTGTATTTATTGCATCTTGTTATTAATTTAGTGTATTTATCTTTTTATTCACAGTACATACAAAGCCCTTATATACAGTGGCGGATCCATAAATTTTTTTAGGGTGGGCCAAAATAAAAACTAATTATATATTAATATTTTTGTCCATTAATATTTTTGTTAGGGTGGGCCAAAATCCAAAAATTATATATATTAATATTTAAAAAAAAAAAAAATTGAGGGTGGGCTAAAGTGGGCTGGATCCGCCCCTGCTTATATAACTCCAGCTGAGTGACTTTCTTTAGCTTTTGCCATATTTTGTTTGGCTATTATGCTTTCATGTAAATAGCATTTTCTTTTATTTTTTTTTAGAACCGTTATGTTGTTGACGCTAGCCAATCACAGACATCATATCTTCCCTCAACAATTGGATCTAGAGCTGTGTCATGGAATACACATGGTGTGGATAATCGCTCCATAAAGAATGGGATTCTTCCAAATTCCACTTATCACCATGAACAGCATGCAAGACCACTTGTAAGGAATGTTCAAGATGGAGTAAATGCGACATCTGTAGCAAGTTCATCAAGTTTAGGAGCAACTGCTGTAACACAAGATTACAGTGGCTATACACTGTACCCAAATTCTAGTGATCCATATAGTTATGGAAACATAGGATACCTAGGTTACTATAGTAGCTATCAGCAGCAACCTAACCATTCATACTCCCAGCCTGTAGGAGCATATCAAAATACGAGTGCTCCTTATCAGCCTATTTCTTCGTTTCCAAATTCAGGGTCTTATCCTGGGCCTGCAAGTTATTCAGGCACTTAATACCATCTTGGTGATTATTAGAAAGCTGGAAGTTATCCAACTAGCGGTTACAATAATCAGACGAACTCATGGCATGAAGGCAGTTATGCAAATTATAATTCTCATCAATACTCAAACTACCCTGCAGAGGCAACTGGCATTTACAATTTTGTTACTACAGGCCTTCACTGCAATATCCACAACAGTACAAGCAATGGACAGATTTTGAACGCGAATCCATTTCGATTCTAGGTAAACAAGCAATTAAACAAATATCCAATCTTATTATACGTTTTTTTTTTCACTTAATTTTGAAGTTCTTTTGAATTTTTTTTTTTTNCCCCCCAAAAAAAATAATAACATGGGTAGACCTATTAATTCATGGGAAGATATGCAAAGTGTGTTGAGGCAGGGATTCATTCCGAGCCATCACCGTAGAGATTTGTTCCAGAGGTTACAAGGTCATAGGCAAGGGAATAAGAGCATAGAGGATTATCATAAGCAGATGGAGGGGGCTATGACTAGGGCAACACTCTGTTGAGTTAGAGGACATGGTCCATATGGCCATGAAAGCTGAGCGAAAGTTGCAATGTAAGGGCTGATGAGACTTTTTTTTTTTTTTTTTGGGGTAAGTAAGCTTTTATAGAAAGGGGAAATAATGTACAAAAGACCTAAAAGTCAGCCAACCTACCTCAGGACAAGCCTTGGGTTAGGAGCAAAGGAATGATACTACCTAAGTCTACCCCTAATCTTCTCTTTTTCTCATTCCTCTTGTCAAAGGAATGGAACCAAGCGGAGATTAAAGAATACAATGAATCCCACCTACCACAGGACATACCCTAGGTTAGGTTCAAAAGTATCAGAATACAAAGCCCATATGCATAAGCATTAACAAGAAGAATTCCATAAACATGGACATTAACAAGGTAGGGTCCGTTAATGACACAAAGACAAAGCACTAGATCAACACCCCAAGTCTTCCAATTGTCAAAGTAGTCTCTTCTAGCACAATCACCCGCCCGAATGTCATATAACCAAATCCCCTTACACGACAAAAAACCCATCACATAACAACTAACCATATAATTAGCTCCCATGGGATGTTTTAAAAATAGACATGGGGAGACCCCATTTCTCGGCAAGTCTTCTATTGTAGGTATTCTTTATGATCTTGTTAAGGTCCATAGCTCTCTCCCTCACCACATTCTTGATGGAGTTGTAGAGAGTATGTGCATCCTTGCATTCCCACCAAAAATTCAGCTATAACTCTCTCTCCAAATAGAGTAAATGGTGGCTCCCAAACTTAGCTTCCCTATAGAGTACTTTAGCTTATTCTTCCTCCACCTACTAGCTATGTGCTCAACATAATCGTTCCAAGGCCGTGTGCCATACCCAAGAGAAAAGAGCTCGAGGATTCGGTTCCAAATCCTTTGGGTGAAAGGACAAGCCAAAAAGAGATGATCGATCGTTTCTTGCCCATGATTACAAAAACAACGAGCATTGCTAGAAGCTATTCCATACCTCATCAGTTTGTCCCTGGTCTAAAGCCGATCCTTACATGCCATCCACGTGACCATGAAGTGTCGTGGAATAGTTTTTGGGAACCATACAAGGTGATGCCATTCTACTCAATGTTGGTGCACAAGAATAACCTCCCAAGCCGATTTTATAGGGAACTTATCAGATGCATTAGGCTTCCAAACAACCATGTCCTCGCCCTCATTTGGATCAAAGTCGATAGAATCGTTCATGTCCATCAAAGCCCAAGAATTAGCCGTTGGCCATCTCCACCTGATCCCATCCCAAATCTCACACACCTTAGCAAGATGATGTAGCCTCGAATCATATACAATGCGGCTGCCATATCTATCCTTGAGAGGGTCTCTTGGGTGCCAATTATCATGCCAAACATAAGTTGTTTGACCGTTTTCGATGATGGCTTTGATGTGCTCTCTAGCTTCCCTTCTAAGCTTCAAAATGCTCCTCCAAGCCTAAGAAGCATCCGAAGGTATAAGAATCTCCCAAAAGCTCTTCCTTGCCAAGTAAGTTGCTTTGATCCACTCAACCCATCCAAAGCCACTACGTAATTAGTATAAGAATCTCTCTAGGATTTCTTTGTTATTCCTTAAGTCAATGGTATTTAGTGTTTGCTGAACATATGTCAATAGATTTGAGCTGACTTTTCTCTTCTATAGTTTTTGAAACTTTAGGACAGCTTGTCCTTCTTTTGTTGGTCAGCTTGTTCGTTATTTTGTTTCTTATTTTTTCCTAATACAAAATTTCTTGATTCCTAGAAAAAAAAAAAATACTATCTATGATTTGCATGATACTCCTTAAATTAAAAAATTGGTGTTGTAGACACTAATTGATACAACATGACTCGTGTCTAATTGTGCCTTATATTTACATGTGTAGTTACCAAGGAATGTACTTTTACCTGCCTTCAAAAAATGCATATATTTTTATTGTCAAGAAACATGAAAATATTATTATGAACTTCTTGCTTTAAACATTACACCATTTTGAAGGCTGTTGCTTTTATGTTTGTGTTTCTTTAATATCGATGATTATACTTTCTCTTAAGGCATAATGAAAGATTTAATATCCTTGTTAAAAGAGGGCAAGAAGATTGAAAGCAAGCTCATGTAGAAAACTAAGTATACTGAAGATAAGTTCTTGTCACCTATCATAATGTTTATTATATGGTATTAAGAGTACATCTTCCCTTTTTATTTGTGGCTAGTGGATTTCCTAGATGTACTATATTTGGTGTACCAGCTCTAAAATTAGATTTAAAATCACAAATTTATTCTCGATTTTGTTTAGCTTTTGATACCCCAATCAAGTTTTTTGTGCTGATTTAGCAGACACCTGGTGCACATATTAATGTAATTTTATAGTTCCTTATCCAAAAAAGAATATATCGATTTTACTTCTAGTATATTTACATTTCTTGCTTGTATTTGGTATGTAAGTACCAAAGTATGTTTCCTGGATTTATGAATTGCTCTTTTTCTCTATTTTCTTTTAGGCATTGTCATTCTTTCTATTGCTTTGTTTTCTCTTTCTTCGTTTTTTTTTTCTTCTAAGATATGGACTGAATCTAAGAACAGAGGGAAGCATTATAATACAAGTTACAACAATTGAGTGTACTTTTTACGATAAGGGTAGGGAGTCTTTTATAGTTCTTCTCTTCCTCAAATATGTGGAAGGAACTTTAATACTTATGATATCTCAGAAATTCATTGTTTATTCTTTTGTTGCTTGATTTCACAGTTGTGTTGCATTATTGTTTTATTTCTGCAATTTTTCTGTCCTATTTGAACATGCAGACTTTTTCTTCTTTATGAGGACATTTTCTAGAGTTCATTGTTCTTGCAGGCCATTATTTGCCAATAATTTATTAGGGATTGTTTGGACTCTTTTGGAGCAAACTCTTTTTGCTATTCAGCAATAGGCTGATGGCACAAGTAATTGAATTTAATCAATTTATATTATTATAATCGATATGTAGAGCACTGTTTATCATTTCCTTTTTCCCATGGTACTAGTAATTGCATTGTTTAAGGCACTTGGAAATTTTGCTAAAGGCAATTAACTTGATACTGGTTATGTTGTCCCTTCTAAGCCATCATAGTCTTAAGTTTTTGCTAAAAAATAATTCTCAAGTATATGTTGGTAAGAAATATTGTTTTCTAGAATCTGCATATCAGATTTGCAATAATTGAATTTGTACAGATATTGTGCCACATCACAAACAATTATCCTTTGGAGTTGGGAAATTTACATTGTAGTGTTGTATTATATAAACTCAATTAAATAGTTTTTTCTATAATGAATTTATTGGATGGCAACATTGATATTATCATGTAATGTACTGAACAACAATGTCACAAGTCTTGTCCTAGCCAAAGGCTTCTCAACATCACATTCACTTTCTGCTCCTTTTAAGAGTAATCGGAATTCGGAATGAGTTAAATGACTAATTTACTCTTGTTTAAAATTTTATATTTTACCCTTATAGCTTACTATTTTAAAATAATTATCTATGATTAAATAGTGTTATTAAATTAAGATATTAAAACTTAGGTTATTGTTTTGGAATTCATGGCCATCAATGCTATTACTCCACATTGTTTACATATTGAACAAGAAGACAATGATTTGTCATTGTGGTATAAGTTCATTATCAAATAATGCACAATTGTGTAACTTCCTATGGTTGCAATGTGTAGATTGATATATGGTTGGTCGTTGACCATTCACACTCTTGTGGCCTGCTTGAAACATGATAAATAGTCTCTAATAGGGGTGAGCGGTTTTGGGTACTCTGTAATTTTTGGCAGAACAGGAATTGGAACTGGAACCTATCGGTTTGTAGTCGGTTTCGGTTCTTAAATTCCTAAAACCAGAACTTGAAAGGCAAGTTCCAGTTCCTTACTTGGGTACCCTATAAAAATTCAATTACCCTCCTATTAGTTTAAAAAATAACAAAAAATACTTTAAATGTTTATAAATACACCCTTAATGAATTAAGAAAACCTGCATTTAGTAGTTTTCAACTTTTGATTACTCATTCATTTATGTCCAATGTGACTCATAGATCCTTTAATCTCTAGGCAACACTTGAATTCAATCAATTCATCACAATTTACATAAAATTAATGTAGTAATTTACTAATGTTATAATTAATTAAGTAATCATTTAATTATAATGTAATGTTATACACTTAATTAAGTAATCATTATATAAATCTATAATGTAATATCATAATTAATTAAATTTCTAATCATTTAATTAAATAATATACTAATGTAATGAATTATTAATGTTTATAATATAATGTTATAATTAATTAAATTTACAATAATTTAATTAAGTAATGTATTAATGTAGTAAATTACTAATGTTTATAATATAATGTTGTAAACTTATAATTAATTAAGTAATAATTTAACTAGTAATGTACTAATGTTTATCAATTTATCATATGTAATTAATTAATTACTAATTTACTATAAATATACTTGAAACTTGATAATTGAAGTAAATAACTAAATATTATTCAGTCAAATATACTATTTAATTTACAAAATAATTCTTTTAATAACATTAAAACACTTTTAATTAGCTCCTAATTTAAAAAAAAAATACACTTAATTATTCAAAATTTTAAATTATAATATATTAAAATTTTTTGTATGTAATATATATATAATTAATTACGATAGACCTCAAATTCTTTACAGA